GGGATCGGGCAGTGTTTCGTTCTGCTGTGCATGGGGTCGCTATGAGTCGGAAACGACTCGACGGCACTTAACAACAACAACATATGGGTTAAATTAGTTTTAACATTATTTAACCCAATATAATGAAATGTTACCACTTCAAGTATAACCATATAAAAATTAGAGACATTTTACATTCTTTTTTCATACTAAGCATTCAAAATTTCATGTGTATTTTATACACTTATCCACTGCCATTGAGTTGGATCCAACTCATAGCGACCCCTCTTTGGGTTTCTGAGGCAGAGATTACCCAACCTCCCTTCCAAGGAGTGGCTGGTGGGTTTGAACTGCTAGCCTTCTGGTTATCAGTCAAATGCCTTAGGCACTACACCACCAGAGCTCCTTATAGCAGATCTCAACTCAGACTGGCCACATTTCAAGTGCTCTGTAGCCACACCCTGGCAAGTGGACGCTTTATTCGATAGTACATGTATAGAGACTGCTATCACGGAATGTGGCACATTAGATTAGAATGATCTCTTCTCATCTCAGTTTCCCTAATTAGCTAATACATCTTTGGAGGTGAACACTGAGTCTTATTTATCAACCCCCCCGCCCCATGTACCTAGCATAGTGCCTTTAGAGGTACTTGACAATTCTTGGTTGAAAGGGACTATCAACAAATTCTTCCTACACAAAGCTGAACCCTGCCCACTGGAAAGTTCTACCCAGGGGCCCTCCCTCTGCTCCTGGAGCCTCACATATGGACACTTAAATTCTGAACATAGCTATCAGTTCTCCCCAAATTTTCTCTTCCCAAAGCTAAATCTCTCCAGCACTCCCCTTTCTTTATCTGAATGACAACTGAACTTCCAGCCAAGAGTCATTACCTGCTGAGGAACTGTTATATCCTATAATTATTTCTGATGTCAGTGTTTTAGTTTCACAATCTTGCTGCCCAAGATGTGCAGGGCCTACGTTTTCTCCCTACTGTGCCTCGTGTGGTGCTGGGCACAGAATAGACCTCCTCTCACTACTAACGTGCACACTGGGTCTCATTTCTTCCTCTAGTCATGTACTTTCCCCACTGTCCTTTTAGATCTTCAGAAATCATAGAATTCCAGAACTGAAGAAGCATTCAGTCAAGAATGAGCCAGGAGAGTTACCTTGCCCTCAATCCCACAGTTAGTGTAAGAGCCAAGGGCCAGGAAGAACAAGGAGTCCCAACCATTGGGCCCATTTTCTCCACTCCATCAGTCCGTGTCCCGGCCCCCTCTTGCAGGACACTAAGTCCTGCTTCCCACCTGAGGCTGGCCCTCTGGGGGTCCTCCAGCTTTTGCAGGGGATGTCCCAGCAGGCAGCATGGCAGGCCAGTGCCCTGAAGGAAGTTCACGTAGAAGAGCAGGATGTATGGATGCGTGTCTCAGGGTGTGTGTGTGTGCATGTGTGTGGTGGATGGGCAGCAGTGGGTTAAACACCAGACAATGATGCAATCACAGAGCCCAAACTGAGTGCAGGTCGCTTTAAGAAAGGAGTAGTTGTAATCTGAAGCCCGCTGGCCACAGCACTGCGAGGCAGCAAAAAGGCTGTGCTTGCTGGAGCCCCTCAGTGTGCGGGCTCTGAGGGACCTAGGCTGGGAGCGGAGCTGCTGTGCACCCACAGGTAAAGCAGCTCCCTGTCTGGTCCGTGTGCCAGGGGAAGTCCGCGTGTCCCCTGGGCAAGAGGGACTGGGGAGAGGCAGCGGTATTCTAGGCAGCAGAAAAGAGGGGTGCAAGGGGGAAGACGTGGGAGGTAGTAGCCCTTGCAGCTTAGACACTAAAGTGGATGAGAGAGGGCAGATGGAGCTGGGGGGGACGGGGTAAACAGCAGTTAGGGCCTAATGAACCCCAAACCCCACTGCACCTATCAGAAATGAGGACAGGAAGACTTGAATGAAGTGAGTGGGAAACAGTAGAGGGGGTGGTGGTGGGGGAAGCAGAGAGCAGTGCCTCAGAGGGCCTCTCCAGCTCTGAGGGAAGGACGGGGCTCTCTGAGCGGCACTCCCACCTGGGACAGTCAGGGAGGCAGCCCCTCCTGCGGCCCAGCCTGGACTTCAGCCCGGCGCCCTGCTCCTTTTTCAAAATCAGCTAATGCTGATTCCAAAGATAACTTCCCAGCACTGCCCAGCAGCTGGCCCGCTGAGCCTGCCCCAGGGCTGGGATGGAGGACAGCTGGGTCCTTCCAGCCAGCCTCCACCCATTCTCTTTGGCCAAATTAGTGATGAGTAAAAGCTGGGGACCAATGGGGTTTTGGCCTCTTACAAAGGATGACCACCGCTATCTACCCAGCCAGGAAGTGGGATTTGGGGGTTCAGCTGCCAGTGCTGGAGAGGAGGGCTGTCCGCACCCTTTCCGCTTCTCGGGGCAAACCACAGCTATGAGCCAAAGAAAGCTGTGGACTTCCCAGAAACCCTGCCACTGTCTGGCCCTCGCCAGTCTACTGGGAGCTCAGCCCCCAGGCTGAGGGTGAGAAGGGGAGGGTGCCACAGAGCTCTGTTCCTAGGGCTGGTCCCTCCGGAATCTGGGGAGTGGAACTCTGGGGGCCCTGGCCTGACTCTCTCAGGTTCCAGGACCCTAGCAGGAACACTGTCTGGGGGCTGGTGGGGTTACCAAAGTTGGGCCTGGAGCAAGGGCAGTGCTTCTAGAGCGAGGGGAGAGGGAGGAGTCCTTCCCTGCACTGCCCACAAAGTCCATTGCCATGTGGCTTGAAGAGTGTGTGGTTCTGGGAGGAGGAGGAGGAGGAGGGGGGATAATAGCGTTTGTCTCACACTGGATTTAATAGGAAACACATGTATTGGCTCTGAACACATCCTCCTAGCTTGGAGGCAAGATCAAAAAATCCCAGCTCCTGCCTCTCTCTTGATTTGGAGAATGAGGTGGGTAGTAAGGCCTGACCTTGGCTTAACAGGGAGGGGAGGTGCCTTCTCTTACACCCTCCCCCACCAAGTAGCACAGAAATCTGGCTTGGGTATCGCTCTTTGGACCTGATGGGACCATTGCCCTTGCCCCTGCCCAGGCCACGGGGCAATCACCTTTCACAGGGAGTCGAGTGTGCTCGAGGGGCCCCTCACGCAGACCCCGGCTCTCTGCCCTTGTCTGGAGTTTCAGTCATCTCTTCACTTTCCCTTTCCCTAGGGTTTGGGGTGTGGGTTCAGAGGTGTGATTAATGCCAAGTGTTGCCAGTGTCTAGTCCCAGGGTGGCTTTGGACCCCTGTGCCTTTCCCACCAGGTTCCCTTACCTCATCTTCAGCCAGCCTACCTGCTTGATGACCATGGTCAATCACACTGTCTTAATGGGTCTCAAGAAAGCGCCATGTTAATGTGTACTGCAATTGTGAACTTAGTTTATTTCCCACCCCAGCCAGAGGACTAGCACTAACAGCTTTTCCCCTGGCTTGTCGCTAATGCATTAGCTGAATTTCAGCCTCCCAGGAAACCAGTCCGCTGAGGCTCAGGGAGGGGAGGCACTGGGTGGGGCTGGCTGGCTGGAGAGCTGTTTTAAGCCTAGATGGTGTGAAGGTCTCTATTTTGCTCTGCAGAAAGCTTTTCCTGTTGTCTCAATGGAAGATTCCACTCTGAGTGGCATGGGGGGAAGCAGCCACGTGGAACAGCAGCTGGCTGAGGATACAGGGGTCGTAGAACTGGTCCTCTGAGACGCCAGCCAGAGACCGGTTCCCACTGGCAATGCAGTCTTAAGCTCAGCAAACTCAGGAGGCAATTTCCCCTTTGTTGCCCTTCACGCTCCACAATATTGTCCAGTGGATCATCAGACTTGATTGTAAGGACTTTAGCCAAAAATCATACACTGCACTCCCAACTTTCTGATCCAGTCTGTTCTGGGAAGTCAGAAAAGCGTGTATGTGTATAAAAGGCTACTGAAGGAGCGCAAGAAACCCTTGGCCTGTGTGTGTATGCTGTTGGGTGTGCACGTGTGTGTACGCGTCCGTGTGTATTTCAGTACATAAAAGAATACTGAAGGAGCCCAAGAAACCCTTGGTCTGTGTGTGTACGTGTTGTGTGCATACGTGTGCACATTTATATATAGGAGGATACTGAAGGATCTTCAAGGCTTCTGTGTGTATCTTGCAGGGGCAAGGGAGACAGAGTTTAGATTGTAATTTTGTAACTTCGCAATATGGATGGAGAACATGGACTAGCCAAAGGGCCTGGATGCTGAGGACTTGTCCCACTCTTTCCTTTTTAAAAATATTTTATTATTTTTTTTTGTGATTTGGATTAAAGTTTATAAAGCAAATTCATTTTCCATACAGCAGCTCATGCACATTGTTTTGTGACATTGACTATAATTCCCCACAATGTAACAGCTCTCTTCCCATTTCCTCCCTGCAGTTACCTCTTCCTTGTGTCCTTTCCTATGTACTCTTGCCCCCTGAGCTATCTCCCAGTGCATATACTGCCCTTCTGTTCTCCCATTCTAAGGAGTGTATCTACCTGATGTAAATGTTCACCCCATGTCTATTATTTGGCTGGAAACCATGGGAGTGAGTTCAATTCCAGACCTGAAGGGGTCTGGGTCTTCCAGACTAGGGTCTTGGGGGTCTCTCTTCCCAGGCTCTATAAGACCAGTCAACATTTTTTTTTTTTTAATGATTTTGCGTTTTATTTCCCATTGTTCTACTCTATCCAGGATCCTTTTCTAAGTGGTTGACAGTGGTAGCCAGGAACCATCTAGTTCTTCTGGTCTCATGGTGATATAGGCTGAGATTCACATGGTCCACTAGTCCCTTGGTTTTGTCCCACTTTCTAACCAGAAACCCTTTGGGGAGATCCTATCTGAACCTCATTGGTTGCTTCTGTCCTGTCATATCCCCAGATCCTGACTCCAGGGGTAAGCTCATAGATGACATGAATACAGGAGGTCCAGGGGGGTAAGGGACACTGTAGCAGATGATGCTTTAGTCCAGATTTCAGAGTTTTACCTTGTGGTCCAAGTGCCAGACCAGAGCCTGGGTGGAGGAAGGCACTGCTAGGAGGTGGGTTGTCTTACTGAGCAATTAGGTTGTTTAACTTGGAGAAAGGAAGGTTCTGGGGTCTTCAGAGCTATTTTTAGAGTGGTAAGGGGAAGAGGGTAAGGCTCACAGGAGAGAAGTGGGGCCAAAAGACCCAAATTACAGGAGACATTTTGGCTCAGTCATTTGAGCACTAATCTGTCTCTGGCACAGGTAAGGGCTCTTAAGGAATTATCTACTTTAATTTTCTTAACAGTAGGTAAGTACTATTTTATCTCCATTTTACAGGAGAGACAACTGAAATCTAGAGAGCTTTTAAGGGGCAAAATTGAGATTTGAACCCAGGCTATCTTTCCGTAGACCCTGCACTCCCAACCATGAGAGAAAGATCTCTCAAAACAGAACTGCTGAGATGGGAATGTGTTCCCTTATGAGGCTCAAGTTCCAAGTCACTGGAGTTTAAGAGGAGTGTTTGAAACTTCTTGGGGACAGGAGTGGCTGGCCCAGGTGCTTCCATTTTCAGCATTCTCCGATTCTACTGCCCCAAATTCTGTTAAATGATCTGTCGGTTCCTCTGGGGAAAAGCCTCCTTGTGCATTTGTGCTAGGCCATGCTCCCTTCAGAGACCACCACCACTGGACTGCCACTGCTCTGGGGCTTGAGGTTGGACGGTGGGCCCTTGACACAGACAGTGGGATAAAAGCACCAGCCCTGATATGATTAAGAACCACGAGGCAGGTGCAGGGATGGGGAGGATGCTGCTGGGAGGCAGGGTGGTTAAGCCAAGGGTCCATTTCCAGGCTAGAGAGGCCGGAGGGAAGGTGCCCAACCCTGGCCACGCCACTCCCTGCCCAGGGCGGCCCAGTGGCAGGCACAGGCAGGCGGGTGAGTGAAGCAGCAGCTGTCTCGTGCTTCTCTTGCAGGTCCAGGATGCAGGCCCTTGTGCTGCTCCTCTGGACTGGAGCCCTCCTTGGGCATGGCAGCTCCCAGAACACAGCTGGGAGTCAGGAGGAGGTCAGTGAATTGGGTAGGGTGGCTGCAGCAATCCCAACCCCTCCATAGCAGGTGGGACAGGGAGTCGGGCACCCAGAGTCTAGGCCGGGCTCTGGCCTTTGCATCTAGGGTCTCGGTGTCTCCATCAACAAAAAAGAAAAATATGTTTTGCCCTGCCTTTCAAAGAGCATGGTGGGGCCAAAAGCAAATTCCCTTAAAGCAAGAGCACTTTGAAAGTCCAGGGCTGTCCCTGCTGTGAGGACCGCGTCTCATTATCTTGCACTCCTGTGGGTCCCTGCCAAGTGGTCAGTGTCTGATGCTGACTGGGATGCAAGAGATCATGTACGAGTGGGGGACAGACTTCTTCCCTACCCAGAGAGTTAGCGAGCAGTCTGGGTGTGGAGGCAGATTCAGACACCGGGAGGGAAGTCCGTGCTATGTGACAGTGGGGTAACAGTCACACGAAGAACCAGGGCAGATGGAACACAGTGGCTGGAGCCTTACACTTTCTCTTGAGTTCCAAGTTAGAATCCTGGCTCCAACTCTCACTAGCTTTGTGACCTTAAATACATCGCTTTCACCCAAGTTTCCGTTTCCTTATCTATAAAACTGGAAAACATACCCACTCCTCACTTATCAACATGGTTAGGTTCCAAAGACCAGGTTGTATGAGAAAACTGGTGTTATGCAAAAATGGAGGATGATCACATCATTATAAAACTGCCTAATTACATTATTATATAACTGCCAAGCCACAAAAATCATGGCCTGGCTAAACTGACATATAACCTTAACCATCACAGCCAGAGTTACTCTTGCTTTGCACCTTGGCATTTGTTAATGCCAGACGTATGCTGCTAATGCAGAAAACAGTCGAATAGTACACGTTTTAGTATTATTGTAAATGCAAAATGTCAGATAAAGAGACAGCCGATAAGCGAGGAAGAATAAAATACCCATCCTTACAGGGTCACTGTGGCCATTCCCATTCATTTTTCCTCATCTATTGAACACCTTCTCTGCAGGTCCTGGGGATGAGAGGAAATAGAAAAGGCCCAGTTCTTGCCTTCAAGGAACTCATCTTTTGGGATATTAAACAAACACATCAACAAGTAACTCAAACAGAAAGAGCCAACAGAGAGCCTGGTACACGGCAGGTGGTTAAAAAGTGGTAGTTGACTCTTAGGAGAAGGTCAGAAAATAAAAAGGTCCTTCAGTTTGGGGTGATCAGGAAAATCTGAAGGAGGAGGTGACATCTGATCAGGGCCATAAGACAGGGAGGTTCTGATGGAGGGAGGGCCTTCTAGGCAGAGACCTGGAGGCAATAAGCGAGGTCACCTGGTGTGGCCCGAGTCCAGGGTTTCTGTAAGTGTGTGGCCTCCTCTTCATCAGTGTTTCACAGGCTGGAGGCTCACAGGTCACAAGCATTTAAGCCTGGCCAGGTAATCTCTCTCCTGGGTTGTCTTTCCCTACAGAGAACTCATGCTTTATCAGGAATGTAAACTTGTTCCAACGTTAGGCTAAATTCACTGTAATCAGGAAGGACAGTATGAGGCCAGACAACAGTCCCACTCAAAATGACAAGACATGTTATTCACTGTTCATCTCCATTGGTCCTTGTACTCAAATCCAGGACTTCCTGTCTCTTGCCAGGGGTCCCCAGCCCCTGATACCACGGGGATGCCTGTGGAGGAGGAGGATCCCTTCTTCAAGGTCCCTGTGAACAAGCTGGCAGCGGCCATCTCTAACTTTGGCTATGACCTTTACCGCGCGAGATCCAGTATGAGTCCTGCTGCCAACGTGCTCCTGTCTCCGCTTAGTGTGGCTACGGCACTCTCTGCCCTGTCACTGGGTGAGTTCCCAGAAGGAAGCCTAGACTAAGTAACTAAGTAAACTTAGTAACAGACTTGAAGGCACCTCATTGTCCCTCTGCAAGTATATGGCCCTTTGGGCCCTTGAGAAACTTTGCCTCGGGGAAGGGTGAAGCAGCACCGAGAGACTGGACGTGTGTGAGTGGAGCTCAAAGGCTATGCACACACAATTCCCTTGAGAATGGCTGGGGCTGGTATGTGGTCTTGGGGACCACTTAATGACATGGTGACTTCATTCATTCCTTAAATGAGCTTCTACAATGTGCCTACCATCGGGCTAGGCTCAGGGGATAGAACCACACACAAGTAGACATGGTCTGCACCCTCACTGGAGTCACAGTTGAGTTCCCAGGGTAAATAAACAAACAGATAACCACAGAATAGTCTGGCAAGTGCTGTGATGGAAGAAGATAAGGATTGTACCCCTCACTCCCACCCTGACATCTTTCTCTAGGCCTGAAGCCTTTAGTCTACTTTAGGAAAATCTTTAAGAATGGAGTCACTATTTCTTCCATTGCCTTTGAACTCCTTGTCCACCTAGAATGTCTTCAATGTCAGCCTATTCAGGCTCTCAGCAGACACAAAAAGTGTATATAGCATCTCCTGTCCCAGCAGTTGGGCTATCTGAGCCACAGTGGGCAGCTATCGAGCCTTACACCCTTGTCTCTCGGGCAGGAGCGGAGCAGCGAACAGAGTCCACCATCCACCGGGCTCTCTACTACGACCTGATCAGCAACCCAGACATCCACGGCACCTACAAGGAACTCCTTGCCTCTGTCACTGCCCCCCAGAAGAACTTCAAGAGTGCTTCCCGGATCGTCTTTGAGAGGAGTGAGCTGCCTTCCCAGCCTGGGCTGCCTAAAGAGTGTGGGGCTTTACGCTCCATGCTGGGAGTTTCTTTCTCAACAATAGCCTGTGTATGCTCAAGCCAGAAGGGGCCTCGTGAGCCCAAAGAGGATCAGAAAGAGGAAGTGGGCTCAGGGAGGTGGGGTGAGGCGGGGGCAGAGCAGTAACATGAAGTGGAACAGCAATGAGTGAAATTTGTTCCCTGTCCAGTGCCTGGGGAAGCTGGCCTCAAGTCCTAGCATTAAGTCCTGGGAAAAGGCTGGACAGGAAGCCGCCTGAGTAATCAACCAGAGCCTGCGCCGGGCATGCTCTGACAGGACGCTGGGTTAGCTCCTGTGTGCTAACTTCTGTTCTACTTCGTCCCAGAGCTGCGGATAAAATCAAGCTTTGTCGCGCCACTGGAAAAGTCTTACGGGACCAGGCCCAGAATCCTGATCGGCAACCCCCGCTTGGACCTCCAGGAGATGAACAGCTGGGTGCAGACCCAGATGAAAGGGAAGATTGCTAGGTCCACAAGGGAAGTGCCTAGTGGAATCAGCATTCTCCTTCTGGGCGTGGCTTACTTTAAGGGTGAGGGCTGCTCCACTTCATTTTTGGTCGAGGGTGGATAGGAGGCGTTAGAGAGCACGGGGCAAAGGGAGAAGTCAAAGACCATGCCCAACGTGGGTGCAGGGGCAAAGCCAGGGGGAGCGAAGAAATACACTTGCCTCAGAGAGAACTGCTTATCACCAAATCTAAGAAATTGGCAAATATTTGATAGATGTCTAGAAAGTATAAGAGGCTTGTGGAGAAAGGATAGCAGAGAGGGAAATAGAATTTATACTTGAGTGCCTACTGGGAGCTGGGCAGTGTTAGATTTCTTAGAGTCAGATCAGATTCCAATCCCAGTTCAGCCTCTACTAGCTGTGGAACTCTTTTTAAGTCTCATAACCTTTCTGGGCTGATTTCCACATCTTTATTTATTTATTTTTTTTAAATTTTATTTTGATTTGGGTGAAGATTTACAGAGTAAATTTGATTTCCACATCTTTAAAATGAGGACACTACACTGGTTCATTGGCATTTTGTCTTTGTTGTCTCGTCTTTACACAAGAACCCTGGTACTGTCTCTGAGACACAGCCAGAGCTCAAGAAATGGTCGCTAGTTATCTAACAGCACTCTTCTAGGCTGTGGTGACATGGCCAGATGGCACAGCCCTGACTTGACAACAGACTCATTCAGATAAGGGCTTGGGCGGGCTTTTGGGCAACCTCCCCCTAAACTCCTAGAGAAGACAAATGGCTCCCCACTTGAAGCACTGATTTCCAGTGATTGGAAGCAGCAGCTGCGGACCAGTCTGAAGACCACACTAAACTAAATGAGTTTGGTCATCAGCTCGCTGGTCATGTCACCTGTTTGGGCTTCAGCTTTCTCAGCTATAAGGTAAGAGGGCTGATCAGGTGATTCCTGAGGTCCTTTCCAGCTCTGACATTCTTTGATTCCATTTCCCAGAGACACCACATAAAAGTGAACACCAGTCTACCCTTCTCACAGGCTACTGTTGTTGTTAGGTGCCGTCCAGTTGGTTCTGACTCACAGCGACCCTGTCTGTGTATAAGAACAAAACACTGCCCGGTCGTGTGCCATCCTCACAATCTTTGCTATACTTCAGCCCATTGTTGCAGCCACTGTGTCAATCCATCTTGTTGAGGGTTCTACAGGCTACTATAGAACTTGTCTAATGCAGAGTTAAATCAATAAAATAACTAGTTCCTTCTGAATTTGCTTGTGGAATATATCCAGGGTCTTGGAAATACTGTGGCCCAAACCACACAGTTTGGGAGAGCTATGACCTGATATATCAGGGCTGACCATGGTTCTTTAGCCAGACAATTTTCAACAACAGCATGGACCCACCGCCTCTGTAGTGTCTGGGGGCTCAGGACACTGTTTATTTCATTCCAGGGCAGTGGGTAACAAAGTTTGATTCCAAAAAGACTTCCCTCGCGGATTTCCACTTGGATGAGGAGAGGACCGTGAGAGTCCCCATGATGTCAGACCCTAAGGCCATTTTACGCTATGGCTTGGATTCTGACCTCAACTGC